TATCGTAAACCCAGCTCTTCTGGTTCTTCTGCCTTTTGCGTAGTTTTGTGTAGAAGCTCAGTGATAGGATCCAACCTATGATTTGTGGTAATATATACCCATTTCAGTGTCAGTCTATGCACCGTCTCTGTAACCGATTCTGATTTCATGTGTATCCCCAATTTTTTCCTTGAGATTTCATCCCAGCGGCGGATTTGGATATATTATTAGAGATTTCCCCTTTTCGGCGATAACTCCCAATTGCGAGAAAATAGATTTCCATCTGGGATTCCGACTTCATCTAAGACTCCTTCACCCTTCTTTCTCTGATTCTCTCCGCCACGATTGCTTCTCCGCGATTAACCGGCCATCTAGGCGACGCCGTGCACTTCCTGGTCTCAACCCTAGAGATCACAGCAAAGAGGTAGGAGAAGACGCGCAGAAGAAACCAATAGGTTTTTTCGAGGAGAGAGGACGGAGCAGAGCACCCCATTTTTTTTTATCTTAAGTGTATCTCGCTGATATTCTGATAGTTAGCTTATTGGCATATTAAACATACTTATTGAATATCAACGGATTTAACAAAACAACTCAAATTATTCAATACAAACATGTATCATCTGAGGTTATTGCTTTCTCTTTGTGTGGATGGGAGCACCCTTCGAGGCGCCTGTTGGTGAAATTTTTGTTATAATTAGCTTATTAGCCTATTAAACATACTTATTGAATATCAATTGAACAAAGTCAAATTATTCAATAATAACCTGTATCATGTTTATACAATAGAACGAGTTTCAAATGTTCTCACGAATACTCCTATATTGTAACAAATGTCTGTTATAACTAATTGCAAAATATGCTAAGGCTGAATAAGTTAACTATTCATGCCTCTATGGTTTTCAACAACATAAGATAGTCTATAGTTATGTTCCGAATTTCATCCTTCTAGCAACCTGCACTTTAGTATCTACAAAGAAAAATCACAAAGAGCTACGTCAATATATAACCTCCTCAACAAGCAGCAATAAAACATGCATTTTAAAAATCAGGAAATCCCTCACTCGATCAAGAAACTCCCTCCGAATTAAATCATGTATATACCAGGAGTCCGTAATTAGTAAACTTGTTTTCCATTCAGAATGACCACTATTTAGGAGGAATCAATTAAATATTTGAATTATAAGGATATTTAAGTAGGGATGGCAAATTACCCACCCATGGGTAATTATACCCAAACCCAAGTAGATCCATTGATAATGGGTTGGGTATGGGTGAAGTGCATATGAATTTGGGGGTTTATAGATGGGTTTGAGTTTGGGGCTTTCATAATCTAAATGGGTATGGGTTGGATATGGATATCCATTTACTTGAGGGTGTTTTAACTACACATGCAAAAATTGAACCTATTTGCAAAACTTGAAAAGTTTAGGTACCAAAATGTAAGACCAAAAAAATTTAGGTACCAAAACGTAATTTTTCATCGATATTTTGAGGACTTATATGCAAAAAAATTAAATTTAGGTACTAAATATGCATGTCTATTAAGTTTGGGTACCAAACTGTAATTTGTATTTGGGCATGGGTACAAACCCAAATCCATTTGATATAAACTCAACTCAACCCAAAGTAAATGGGTATGGGTACAAACCCATCAAACTCTACCTATATCCATCTATTTAGATTTCATACCCAACCCAATTGGGTTGGATAGTAAGAAACCCATGGATATGGGCAAAGTTGCCATCCCTATATGTAAGGTAATTACGGGATACTGGAATGAGAAGCATAATCAGATTATCTATATGCACGATCATGATTTATTTCGCTGTGTTAATGTTAAAATATAGTTTAGTAATAGGGCTAATACCACTAGGAAACCCGAACTATTAACTTTGTGTCATTTGTGTCCTAAAGTATTCGATATGACAATTGTGTCCTAAACTATTTCACAGTTAGAGTTGACCGGCGTTGATCGTTAGTTTTTAACAGAAAATTCAGTAAACGCTGATGTGGCATCGGAAGTGGAATTTATAATATTATTTTACAATTATTTTTCATATAAAAAAAGAAAATTACAAAATTATAAAAATCCACTAGGAAACCCTTCCTCTTCTCCTTCTTCCTTCTCGACGGATCCGCCACCAGAAGCTTCGAGATCAACCTCCTCGCCTCCACTGAAACCCACGGCGGACACTTGAACTCCGCCTTGAAAACCTTGTTGCACATCCTCATCAAGTTCTGATGCTGAAAGGGGAGAAACCCCGAGACGAGAACAAACAAAATCACGCCTCGCAATCCCGGACGACAATGGTGGATGGCGGAGGAATGAGCGAATCGGCCAGCGGTTGGAGGTGGTTTACGCCGATGGTGACGCGCGGCGACGATTTCGCCAAATCCGATTGATGACTGGCCATTGGGTTCCTTGAAATCGAAAGCAGGTGTGTTGGGGGAGTGGTGTTGGCTCGTGATGATGCCGGCAGGGTGGGTGGGATGAAGCGCGTCCCTCACCTAATTACGGAGCTGAACTTCCTGCATCGATTTTGTGCCTTCCTCACCAACAGCGATGGATTCCTGATCAGAACCCTCAACGACGACGACGGATCGATTCGTCTTCTTCTCGATTTCAGACTCCGGCCTCCCTGTTCACTCCGACAAGCAGAAAAGGCAATTTGCTTGCAATTGGGAGGAAGAGATATGGTCGGCGGTGAATACCCTTACAGTTCTGCAATTCAATCGCGAAGGGTTTTGGTTGGAGAATATATGGTTATCCGATCTTGCGAGGCTCGAAGTTTGATTGGAAGTGAGATGGAACAAGTGGTGGTGGGGAAGCTAAAAAATAGAGAGTAACAACGGATTCGGGGTTTGCAATGGTTTGTTATTTTGTGATTTGGGGTATGTAATCGGCGCTGGCTATCTTATATGGGGCGGAGAGTATGAGACGATGGAGGAAGCGGAATCGGCGGTGGGAGAAGGCGGCGGTGGGGAGTGTAGAGGCGGTGATCGGCAGTGATGGGAGTGTTTTTTATTTTAATTTTTAGAAACAATATTAATTAATTAAGTTTACATTTTTTTAATTTTTATAACAATATATTATTTTTAATTTTTTATTTAATTTTAATTAAAAATATGAGGTGGCATTGACGTGGCATCTACGTGGCTGCCACGTCAACAAAAGTCAATGTTAATGTTGACTTTCGTTTGGTCACCCGTTATCTATAACGGTCAACGAAATCGTCGGGACATAAATGACACACAACTATCATACGTTGTAACATAAATGTCATATCGAATACTTTAATACACAAATGACACAAAGTTTATAGTTTGGGTTTCCCAGTGGTATTAGCCCTTAGTTAATATGAATGAAGAATGTCTGTATAGCTACGAATAGGGTGGGCATGGGTGGTTGAACTGATTGTGCAGTAAGACAGAGAACTCTACTCTACGAGACAAACTCAATTTCTCACGTTCGATAGAAGAACCAAGTGTAAAGACTTGAAAGAGCAAAGTAATCAAAAGTCCAAACAGACAAAGAAAAAAGTCCAACACATCTACAAAATACAATCTGTGAAGAGAAAGAATTAACGTATTAGAGAGCATGCACAGACGAGGAAATGCCAACCACATGATGTCCATCGACGGATAAGCCACAACGAATTGTTTTTGGAGTCATCGAAAATGTGGACTCCAACTTTTTGAGCTGGTAGCCAATAGGAAAGCACAGGAGGAAATGGTGCAAATTTTTGTCCCCACCGCCGCTCATTTAAACTTCGTTAAATAATGAACTACCATTGATATTTAAACGTCCTCAATAATGTCTTGCTAGGAAACTTCTTCTGACCTACTGACTTAAAAGTCTTTAAACCGGCCGGCCGGCCGGTGCCGGCAGGGAATCAACGATAACCGCTTTTCTTATAGTGAATATACTAGTATTTGGTTGTGAATGAGAATATAATAATTGTTTTTTTATTAATTTGGTACCATTTTCACACATATAAATACAACGTAGACGTATGCATTTACAAGCACACGGACGGAGGGCTGGAGAAGATTAATACCTTATTTATCATATGATAACATACACTGTTTCAGATTTTCAAGTTTTTTTTTTTTTTTTAAAGTTTTCTAAAGTAGATTCCAGCGCCATGTCATATTTGTCTTCTTCTGCTTGCATTTGACATGACTTGCTACTTGCTAGAGTCCATCAAAGAGCAGATGAAACGATACTTCAAAAATTCCAAAATTGAAAATAAATAGATAATGATCTTAACACAAACAACCTTAAACAACCAAGAAATGTTGGAGAGTGATGAGATCAATGAACATTAATAATACTAATTATAAGCTTGATGCTTTCCCTGTGTTTGCATAAACCTGAAAGCCCACGTCCAAAACTCAGCTATTACATATATATTAATTAATTAATTAAAAGCACAAGCAGCCAAAACACCCGTGAAACTGTTTATCACGAAATTTTCGCGTGTTACTGTTCACAATGGGATTTCGGTGCTTTGCTGCGGGCGATTCTACGTGAGCGTCAAACCCAGCCCGTTATAACCTTTTGGGCAGGCCCGAGCTCAGGTGCAGCTGGCCGCACCGCATGCGCTCATCCTGGCCTCTCTCTTTTTTTTTTTTAATAAAACATTAAAAGGTCACTCCTTTTTTGTCAACCACTTCTCTCTCCTCCGTTTAACCGACCCATCATCTCTCCTTTTCTTACTGAACAACAACAAAGGAGGCGGAATCCCTTCCGACCGTCCGACCCCTCTCTCCTCTTCCCGTCCGATTCCTATTCTTTCCGCCATTCCAACTTTCTCTTTCCATCAGACCCCTCCATTCCAATAGGAAAACATGAAGCCTTCTCCCATCACTGTTCCTTCTCTTTCCTTTTCCCATTTCTCCTCTTTCTTTCTCCTTCATTCGACCCATCCTATCCCCCTCCTTCCGTTCGAATTCGTCCAACACCTCTTCTCCCCTCCATTTCAATCAAAGAAAATCAGGAATCTTTTCATCTCCTGTTACTCCTCCGCCCAGACGAATGGAACACGCATGCAAAGAGGGCACAATTCGAGTTAGGGTTCCGATTCTTATTCCGGGCGAAAGCCGCTGAAGCAATCAGCTGAATTCCCGGCGAATGTTTCAACAGAAGCCTCCCTAGATGTTTAGCGTTCAATTCACCAGGTAGGAAACTGTGAATATGGTTTCTTTCTTGCTTGCTTTTTTTAATTTGTTTATTTGATTGCATTTTGTGGGTTTGTGAATCTGAGCATTCTCTGCATAAATAATAGGTAATAATCATTCTTACACTTAAAACCTCTTCTCTCCCGCATTTCAATTGATCAACGGAAGCGGCACGCATAGGAATGGCATCAACGGCAACGACATTGGCGGTCCGTTCATCGGTCTATAGAATCGGCTTCGAGAACACAGTACTTATTTCCGACGAAATCCATAGAAGCAGTGTGCCATTCAAGAATCAGATGAATACCCGGCGAATGGTTGAACAGAAGCCTCCCCGGGTAATTCATTATGGCACATTAACCATAAATGGACTGATTCGGCTAACTATAAATGGACTGATTAGGCAAACTGAATCAAAAGGACTCCTTGAGAATCATGTACTAGCGAAGCTTCTTTTAAGCAAAAGCACAATCAGGTTATAGAAGTTTATTATTATAAAGGTATATATATTTATAGTAGTTTTATTTGTATAGGAAGTTGTACAAGCATATTCCGTATAAGTTTTGTGAATTAGTTTTCCTTTCCAACAAAGGATTTTAGACCACAGAGACAACTATAAGGTGTATATAAATCGTCTCTTTGTACCTAGGGTATTCTTCTTACTAATTATCTCATTGTAGCACTACAGCATATTGGCTCGATGAAGCTCATCAGTGAACTAACGCTTGGTGATTCCTCTACAGTAATCAAAGTCCGCGTGCTCCACGCTTGGTGTTCAACAAATCCATCATTCCCTCGCAAGGTGTTCGATTATGGAACATTGTGGACAGATGAAACTGTAATGTGCTGTTAAGAAGGGGACACATCTTGCTCAACTAATACAAGAGGCGGCTCTTATAGTTTGGGATGAAGCTCCAATGACACATCAATTCTCTTTTGAGGCAATGGATCAAACATTTTGTGACATCATGAACACCCCATCGAGTGGAGAGGGTTACAAGCCTTTTGGGGGAAGTGCATTCTTTTGGGTGGCGATTTCAGGCAAACGTTACCTATTGTTGTTGATGGGGGCCGCGAACAAAGTATTGATTCTTCTCTAATAAGATCGCATCTCTGGCCACACTTCAAGGTCTTGCCTTTGACAGTCAACATGAGAATCAACTCAAACCCAAACAACCTTCTACCACTATATGAAGGGAGAACATTTCAAGACTGGGTGTTGGCTATTGGCAATGGAACGATCAAGCAAACAAGTGAAACAACATTTGAATCATCTACTTTCACAGACTGGATCCAACTACCAGATAAATTTCTCATCCCTCATACAGGAAACAAGATTGAAGCAATTACTGATGCCGTTTATAATGATTTTATGGCTAACTATGAAGATACCGGATATATTCAGAATCGAGCTATAGTAACGCCTACAAATCGCATGGTTTCAGAGATTAATGCCTATATGCTAGATAAACTCAAGGGTCGAGCCACGACATACAACAGTTCTGATTCCCTCGAAGGTGACACAGCAAACAAGAGTAACTTAGAAGAAGAATATCCAACTGAATTCTTGAATAGCTTATCATTCAACGGTGTGCCAGAACATGAAATACAATTGAAGGTCTCAACTCCAGTGATCCTTCTTCGTATTCTGAATCCATCTATTGGCCTTTGCAACGGGACAAGGATCATGATAACACATTTGGGTGAAAATGTGATTCGAGGTGATATTATTGGAGGATCATATGACAAGACAACAGTTGCTATTCCTAGAATTGTGCTCAATGTAACTCAACATCGCTAGCCATTCATCTTAAAGAGGAGACAGTTTCCAATCAGGTTGTGCTATGCAATGACTATAAACAAGAGTCAAGGACAAAGCCTCGATATAGCGGGTGTTTACTTACCAAAGCCGGTGTTCAGTCATGGACAACTATACGTAGCTGTTTCACGAGTTCGATCGGCTGATGGTCTGCATATACTGGTTGACAATGACGGAGAAATTCCACCATACTACACCAGAAATATAGTATATGAAGAAACCTTTTTGGATGTCAATGCAACAACTGAGTCTCATACAGGTGATCAATTAAGTTTCTATCATCAAAATAATAGCAACCATATAATTACTACTATGCTTGCTTACGTACTACAGCTAACCAAAACATATACTCCTATTGCAGAAGCCATGGAAATTGATAGGGACGAGCTCAGACAGTAACCAGCATGAAAATGAGCTACTATCATAATCTCCAAACGTTTTCACATTGTATTTGGTTGTTAATTAGACATGTCTGTGTTATGTTCTGCTATTGAAAAACCAATCTATATGATTTTTTCATAGCCATATCTCCCTATGCTATTAACCACTTGAGAATTGCCAAACATCAATTTTGATTTAATCAGCGGCTGTTTTGCACCAATAGTGAGTCCTTTAGGGGGTGAGGCATTGCTGGCTCCTACTAATATTGCTGAGAGTTTCTGAATTGTGATCTTTGTTTAGAGGACAACAACTACGGGATTTGTTTGAGCTGGGATGCAATGACGAGCAGAATAAGAAACACTTCCGTAGGGAAAGGGATTGACAGTTTTGGACTTTATTTGTTTCATGATCATTTGTCTTAAGGATAAAACTATGCTTAACTACCCCTACAGTGACTATATGGTAATCACCAAAATTATTAACATAATAAAAAATGTGACAAAGAACGTAATAAACAGACGGTAACAAATACAACAATAAGTTTTCAAAAAGAACATATACCATATTTCCTACATATCAGGAGTTCCGCAGCGGAGCGCGGACCACAATTCTAGTATTCATGTTAAAGGAAGAAGTAAGTAAAACTATTACAATTAGGATAGGAAATAGTCCTGTATAATTACCCAGATTGTTGATAGAAATTCAAATATTTCCGGTACAACCATAAACATAGATAGAAAAGAAACATTCTCCTTTGCCCCAATAACCAAAGAAATTAACATCGTCTCCGAAGTTTACAAAAACAAGAACTCACTAAAAAATATTTTATTTATTTGGAAAATTAAGAACTACAGCTTTTCCTCTCCATCCTGAGCCGTGACCGCTCTTTCAACCCGTGGAGCTGCATTTGCCATACCGCCCTCGACGACGACGACGACCAGCCCTCGCTCCGCCGCAGCCTCCCGACGGAGTTCACGTTGCTGAGCTCGTAGTCGTATGCCAGACGGGTGGCCGGGTCGGACAGCGTCTCGTAAGCTTCCCGGATCTCCAAGAACCGGCGGGTCGACTCTTCTTTCCCGGATGCGGGTCGGACGTCCGGGTGGTACTGTCGGGCCAGCTTTCTGTAGGCTTTCTTTATCTCCTCGGGTCCGACGTCACTTTCCGATGAGAGTGAGAGCACTTGGTACAAATTGCTCTTCCGGCTAGTGTTATTATTAGTCATGGTGGCTCGGCAGGAGAAAATGGAGTTGAGCCGGTTTGGAAGGAATGTAACTTTCTGGGTTTGTTGGATTGGACCAGTTTTCTGGAAAAGGTGGGTATTGAATTGGAGAGAAAGCTCCATAGTGATTTTGTGATTTGGACTAGAGAGAGAGAGAGAGAGAAGGAAAGTAGGTCTATATTTTTGGAAGTTGTTGAGCAGATGATGAAATGATTGATGAGAAGGGAGGCCAGCTATATGTCTACATATATATAAAAGGGAAAATGTAGTTAGGTTAGGCATGCACATTGGCTCTATTAAAAAAACCTAGCAACTTGCTTTATCGTACTTAATTGCATATACTATTAGCCAGTTCTTTTAACTGAAGTTAAAGTTCCAGTCACTTGGCACTCCAATTAAGTCATGGGACTTCAATAAATTGCATTTGGGTCAATACTAGAGGTGTCAATAGGATGAGTTTGGGTTGGGTTCAATCAAGTTATGGTTTTGTTGGATTTTCGATTCGTCGGGTTGTGGGTCAGTCGAATTACGAGTTCATCAGGTTACGGATTAATCGGATTGCGAGTTCGTCGGGTTATAGGTCAATCGGGTTAAGGGTTGATTGGGCGGGTTGCGAGTTGCTCGACTCATCATTTTGTTAGTCACTTTTTAATACTTACAACTTACACTTTATTTATTACACTAATTTCAATTCTAAGACTTTTGTTAAATTTATCAGTTCTGCTGGACAAAATGAGTATTTATCATTATGCAAAATATGAAAATATTTGTCATTGGCATCAAAACATTTGCTACATGAATGTATTTTAAATATGGCATGGCTAACAAATCATCACGTCATTAACATAACTGATGGCATCCCTAATGACATTAATTTTTTAACGAAAATAACTATATTTGTCCAGCAAACATTTCAACTCTGACTGTATTTGTAGTTTATTAAAAAAATTATTATTATTATTGTCACAAATGCTAAATTTATGGCTACAAATATATTTTGCATTTATTCAAAAAGATCTCAACCATCATCAACCAAGCTTAGCTTGCATACATTAAGAATGTTAAAAAAAAATCATTATTAATTTTTTTAAACAGAGTTAATAACCAAACAATGATACCATGATTATAAACATGTACTATTAGTAATCAATTTCACGTTAACAATCTCAAATAGCAATGTTAATAATAATAAAAACAATACTAGTTATGAGTGAAAACATTATAATCCATCTCTTCTAATATTAATTTTAAAAAATCCTTTAAAATCTAGTTTTTAAGGATTGGATCTGGACGGCATTCTATTGAAAAAATGAACTGCGGTCTCAGCTAATAAGACAAAGAAGAATTTTGCCATCCAAATAAAACCAAAATCTATCGAATTCGAAACTTCTAATATCGCAGGGAAAACCTCTACTTTTCAATCCATCCTCTTGTTTTAACAATTTGATGGGGATAAAACACTAATTAATTAAGTATCCTGACGCGGTTAGACTTTTTCATACGTTGGTTTCAAGACATAAATATTTGGCAGCAACAAGTGTTTTGTACTCACATTGCTCCTCTGCCTTGGATTGGCCTGGCTAGCTGCCACGTGTCAGCATGACCAAGTCCATTCCAATTTCCACACTAGAATAGCCGCCTAATACTTTCCTGGTTTCGTACGTACGTGTGTATTGTTATTGTTAACTTAATAATATATACGTACACATCAATGAACTTCGTGCACGAACCTTTAACCTATTATTTCGTTGTATTAATGTTACAAAACTCGAAAGCAATACAGGATGAGAGACGTGGGTTCTCCGCAGGAGCATTCGAACGATATCTGGGGCATTGGCATTTGGCAACATATCAACAGGGAATTAAGCTAATGTAGCTGCACATGTGATTGCATATGTTGAAACTAGGTGGAACGAAAGGGTGGTCTGGCTAGACACACCATCGACTTGTCTTATTGATTAGTTCCAGTTGGATAATGTAATCGCTTCATCTTATTAATAAAGTTGAATACAGATTCCAATAAAAAATATTCTATCTAAATTCCAAAAGCATCAATTTTCTCTATAGTTGGTTGATGAAGTAATGAAAGATTGATACATAGTGAAATTTCAAATTCATAGGTGCAAAAAGCTTTGGTCTCTAGGCATTTGTAATTAATTACTACCTCAATTCATTTGTGATCTCTACCTCAAATCAAATGGAATATTGATGGTAATTCAATGCATATCAACCTCTTATTTCTTCTTGGCTTTAAATTATGCTTTCATATATAGATAATAGATACCAACTATTCGATACGTACAGATACCAACTTCAATCCGGCAAAGTAGAGGTCATCAGATTAACCAAGTATTGAGATTTCAAATATTCAAATATGTATTTGTGAAAGTTGAAGAGTGCTAGTTAGGAAGACCGTCGTTTTTGCTGTTTTATTATGTGTATGGAATGCCTCACATGAGAACAAATTAGGCTGATTAATTATGTAATATACAAATAATATCTTCTCTTGAATGATTGTGCAATAAAATAGAAAACGAGACAAATTTAATTTCTCCCGTTTGTTAGAAGAATCAAAGTGTAATAAACTAAAACCGTAAAGAGAGTAAAACGCCAAGTACTTAAAGCCCAGACTGAAGAAAAAAGTCAAGACGTTTATCTACCAAGTAGTCTACGGAGACAAATTTCGTTATCAGGTAGCATGCACATGGAGGAAAAGCCAACTACTAACATGAATATTAATGAGGGTAAGGATAGACTACAAAAAATTATTCTACAAAAATCTAAAATTGTATGGTACGATTATTCAATGAATCAAAATTCATTTAAGAAATAAGGAGGACCAAACTAGTAATTTTTGTACCCTTCTATTCTTTTTTCTTTCATTGATACAAAATTTAGTGGGGAGATATGGGACTTTAAGCCATTCAAATGTTGTTATTTTTATTCACTATATTTGCTAAACGGGTCATATCTCCATTATTTTAACTCAAAAATAATATTTATATACAATAAACGTATTTATTATAATCTTCACAATGAAATCAATTTTGCTATGTTTTGAGAAAAAGAAAACTAGCTCTTTTTTAAAACGCATGTTGGTTAAAGAAACCACCAACGGCAGAGATTTTTTTTTTCTTACATTTGGCAACGAAAAATTTCAGTTGTAAATAACTAAATGTACGACAAGAATTCACTAGAATGAAGAAAATTAACTAAAACAACACAATTTCATGAAAATATTATATTTATATGCTAAATATAAAATATGTTAGAGAAAAATAATGATTATTTCTAGACAAAATACATATGCATGTGTATAATCGGGCGGATTCGGGTCGGATAGTGAGAAACCCATGCCCACCCATTACCCGCAATATTCGGGTTCGGGTTTCACCCGTACCCACTAAATGTCCTTCGGGTTCGGGTTTTACCCTACCCAATTAGGCCGGATTCGGGCGGATATCCACGGTTACGGATATTTTTGCCATCCCTAGTCAGCTTTCTAATTCTTTTCTCTAAGAGATTTGAAGAATTATTATCATTGTGTTAAAAATAATAAGTTATTTTATGGATTAAAATGAACGGGTGAATTACTTGAATTGGTGGTGGAAATAAAATTGAATCTCTCATATCCATGTGTCTATTTTGCTCCTCAAAGTTGTAATGGTTATACCGGTTGCAACTACAAGTGTTGAGTGAGTTTTTCAGCGTTGGGTTACATTAACAAAAGTTTCGAAAATGAATATGTTAATAGTTTATGAATGATTTTCCAGTAGGATATATTGAAAAAGATTTGTTGCGCACTGTGTATTTTACAAGTTTTTTTAAAAATTTGATAAAATTTTGTGGAATTTTGTTCAAACTTTACTAGTCGTATATTTTCTTATTTAATAATTCTATACAATTTTATTTTTTATTTTAATTTAATTTTCATAAAGAACCCCTTTATATAAAATTCATGGATTCCCTGCTAGATCTCTCGTTCCTAAACTACAATCAGTAGATCTAATTTTATATATATGATTCTATTATACACCGGGTGAAAGTTGAAGTACCGCATACACCAAATAAGAAAATAATATCTAGAGATTGAATTGACCGGAGTTTAATACATGGTATTATTAATAGAATTAAAATCCAAGTCTTTTTTGTATAAATATTAATGAAGTTGGTCTACATAATAAGAGACCATATGATTAAAATATTTTATTTTAGGTAGTATCT